TCTCCGACTCAGATTCAACGTTGAAGAGATGCGACGAAATACGGAGCGACGCGCTCTGTTACCTACCCGTACAAATACCAGTGAAGGAATGATAACACGTGATCCGCTCGTAAACACGGCACGTGCCGTACGTAAATACCGCGGCGCGTAAACACTTTTCAAGGCTGCGCTACCACGGTCTGGCTACAACGAAATATAATAAATATTACAAATAATCTATCCAACTTACACGAGATGTTACAGCATCGTTTAACAATTGAACTGATTAAATAATGTGTATATATACAGCCTGATTCCTAATGATACATCGGTTATACGCAGGTAGAACGGATCAAAGCGGGTCTGAGCAAAAAAGTCCTCCATCATTTTGCGATTTTCAATTAGTAACGAGTTATTAATCAGTAAAAATCGTGGGACGAACGCGGCCAACGCAAGCACGTGGCAAAGTATGTATATTCATTCAACATGCGTTCGCGGTAGGAGCGTAACGAAATGTTTGGAGATATATGTATAAGGCGAGTTTTTTAATTCATTGATTAATAAATCGCATTATGCGCAAATGCCACTTTGCTCTATAAAAGCAGCATTATGCAATTAATCAATCGAAATGAATAATTAAAAAACTCGTCTACACTATAAGTGAATGTTCTATCATTCATCGATTTCACATCTATATATCTCGTCGCGCTTCTATCAACCGCGAACGCGTTTTAAACGATTGTACTTTGCCGCGCGCTTTCCTTACTTAATTGATAGTACGCGCTTGTCCTATACTAATTAATAATTCATTACTGTAAATCGTAAAAATCGTAAAATGACAAAGTTTTCTGTTCGGTTTGAGCCGCTTGATAAGCAAATACCATTAGGAATCAGACACCCGGTATATCTCGCGATAAAGAATTATCGTTATACATATGCTTATGAATCATTAATTACGCGGGTTAATAAGTATTTATTATTACGTTCGTAAGTACGTAGTACGTAAGATTTACAGTAACATTTAGTATCGTTTAGCGTTAACGAAATACAAAGAAATACGGAGCGACGCGCACCGCTACCTGCCCGTACGAAAGCCATCGTGTGAATGATAACGCGGAGAGCGCCCGTAAACACGCACGCGCTATCAGCGCCATAGACAATGGAACGCGCTATTCGCGACGCGTAAACATTTCTCAAGGCTGCGTGCCGGCGGTCTAGCTACGTCCAAATATTTAACAATATTACGAGTAATGTCTTAACTTACATGATGCGCTACAGTATCTTTAATAAGTGAACATTATATTATTATAATGTTACAGTATTATTATAATATTATTTATTACGTTTTATTATAATAGTATATTATAATGTTTAGTTATTATTATACAAGCTATTAATATTATAATAATAATAATTGTTATATTTTAAATATCTTTTTTAAAGATTTTAAATAATGGTATAAAACATTAATTATATAAAGCAAATACTTTGCGTATTATATCAATCTTAGTGCATCAATTGCTTGTTTTTTATTCATTTATTTATTATTATTAAAAAAATGTTTGAAGCGCCATGTCCAAGCTAAAGAATAAAAGAAGAATCATTAATAAATGCGATATATTATACAGGATTCCACTGTAATAGGTAACAAGAGTAAAGTTACTCTGTGAAAATCCTGTGGAAATCGCATAACTGAGAAGTTAAGCATAATATTAAAGTTCCATATAATGTAAAGTACAGTGTAATGATCCCATCGCGCTTCACTAATGAGCAGACAAGGAGAGTACAAATTTACGTAATTTCCATTTTAATTAGAAATATAGTGTTGTCTATTAATAATGTAATACAAGAATCAACTCTGAATTTCGGACATAAACTCTCTCTCTC